GTCAGACCTGAACACCTGAAGAACCTGCCATCAGTACTCATCAATACACTGGCTCGGCTCTTCACTCGCTACCTGTCTGAATGCAAGGTTCCATCCCAGTGGAAAACCAGCAGGACCGTACTACTGTTCAAGAAGGGAGACATCCATGACATTGGCAACTATCGCCCGATCTGCCTATTGTCTGTCATCTACAAGTTGTTCACTTGAGTCATCCTAAATAGGATTGGCAGAACACTAGATGAAGGACAAGCATGCGAGCAAGCCGGGTTCCGCAAAGGATTCAGCACCATCGACCATACCCACACGATAACCAAGCTCATTGAGGTTTCTCTGGAGTTCAAGATGCCACTCTGTCTAACATTCATTGATTTAAAGAAGGTCTTTGATTCTGTTGAGACGGAAGCGGTCATTGAAGCCCTAGCCAATCAGGGCATACAAACTCAATACATCAGGATCCTCCGTGAGCTGTATTGCGGATTCACTACCAGGATCTCACCATTCTACAAAGAAGTGATCGTTGATGTCAAGAGAGGAGCTCGGCAGGGTGATACCATTTCACCGAAACTCTTCAGTGCTATCCTCGAGAATATCATGCGACGACTGGAATGGGAAGGAATGGGAGTGAAGATAGATGGTCGGCAACTACACCACCTCCGCTTTGCTGATGACATTGTTTTAATAACACCAAACATCAGCCAAGCGGCACAAATGCTGGCCGACTTTGACCGTGAGTGTGGAAAGGTAGGACTACAGCTGAATCTTACGAAGACAATGTTTATGAGAAACAGCCTCGTTCCTGATGCCCCATTCGCTCTCAACGGAACAACCATCTCTGAATGCAACAGCTATGTGTACCTAGGTCGAGAGGTCAACATGACAAATGACCTGGCACCCGAGCTGCACAGGAGGAAGAGAGCGGCTTGGAAAGCCTTCAAGAACGTCGAAGAAATAGCTAAGAGGACGAAGAACCTCCGGCTCCGGGCACATCTCTTTGATTCCACTGTTCTTCCTGCATTAACATATGCCTCAGAGACCTGGGCCCTACGCAAACAGGATGAGAACGCTATTCAGGTCTCCCAAAGAAGAATAGAAAGAGCTATGCTTGGAATATCACGTTTCACTCAAATGAGAGAACGAATCCGGAGTTCCGACATCCGTCGATGATCAAGAATCAGGGACGCTGTCTCATTTGCCAAGGTGTCGAAAATCAGATGGGCTGGTCACGTAATGAGATTTAAAGACCACCGCTGGACTAGAGCTGTTACCGACTGGATTCCACGGGATGTCAAAAGACCGCGTGGCCGCCCACCTTCCAGATGGTCAGACTTCTTCGTGAAGATCATGAATGATAGGTTTGAGGCCCTTCATGTTCCCGGAGCGAACAGATGCCATTGGGCTACACTAGCAAGCGACAGGGACAAATGGAGACGTTACTGGCGCCCACTCGAGCAAATCGACGACTAATGGGAAGTTAAGTGATTAAGTGATTAAGCTGTTGTAAACATGATTTTATCATCCAATATCCTCCTTATAGAACTCTCCTTTTTGTAAGATTTTACTGGAGGGTTATGGAGGAGTTTGGGCCCATGCAGGAATTCCATCCTTGGTACCACATAATCCCGTGGGCATTGTTGAGTGTGGCCTGATGAGCTGGCAGGTGGCTTCTGCATGCTCACTCAGCACTATGGTCAGACCAGGTATGAAGGGTGGCACTTAGGTCCCCTTGAGTATGGCCCTCTAGCTCCCAATCTTCAGGGCTAGGACGAAGGAGACGTTACTGGTGTCTGCTCGAGGAAATCGATGAACAGCAGGATGATAGTGATACAGTGATACTTATTTTTAATTTTTTTTTCTTTTTGGGTCACACCTGGCGATGCACAGGGTTACTCCTGGCTCTGCACTCAGGAATTACTCCTGGCAGTGCTCAGGGGACCATATGGGATGCTGGGAATCGAACCCGGTTTGGCCACATGCAAAGCAAATGCCCTACCTGCTCTGCTATCGCTCCAGCCTCATTCTTTTTAATCGTCTGTTTAACACTTTTTTCTTTTTTAAAAAAAATATATATATGAGCTATGTGAAAAACATATGGGCCGTTTTCCTTTGCAATGCAGAACAAAATAATGGGCTGACTGTCACGTAGTGAGGAGGAAAGTCACTGTCACTGTCACTATCCTCCTGTTTTTCATTGATTTGCTCAAACGGGCCCAGTAAAGTCTCCATTGTGACACTTGTTACTGTTTGGCATATCGAGTTGACTAAATTCACTGGCTTTTCCTTTCATTTCACACCATTCTTTAAAGAGTTGTGATTTGTTTGAAATAGATTTTAATTGGACCAGACAGAGAACACGTGTTAGATGCTTGCCTTGCACGTGGTCTAACACAGTTCCATTCCTGGCACCTCATGTAGTTCTCAAACACCTTAGGGGGGATGGCTCACACACAGACAACCCCTTCTCCTACCCCCCATTTCCCAAATATAAAGCTATCAGATATGCATTGCTTCATGCTTTTAAAAGTGACTCTTAGCTTCAAATCTTACCAGGGGCCTAGAGAGATAATATAGCCCATAGGGAACTTGACTTGTCTGCGGCCAACCCAGGTTTGATCCTTGGCATCCCAGAGTCCCCTGAGCACCACCATGGCTGGGTGTGGCTTAAAAACAAAACAAGCAAAACCAAAAAGGTGTCTAGGGCTGGAGTGACAGTGCAGGTGCGAACCTGGCATGCAGTGGATGGTTTGAGCCTCATATATCCGCTGGGCAGCGACCCTGCAGCCTCCGCACCACAAGATGAGGCTAACAACCCTCTTTACTGAAGGCTAAAAAGATTTCCGACAAGCGTTTTTTTCTGATACCACATATTTTGGAATGTGATTACTCTGATATCTCACTGTAACTTGTTAGATATTGTCGGCACAACTAGACTGCACAAGAATTTCAGCTTTGGGGGGCTGGAGAGTTAGTACAGTTGGTAGGGTGTTTGCCCTGCAGGTGGCAACCCAGGTTGGAGCCTCTGCATCCCATATTGTCCCTGAGCAATTCCTGTATGCAGGGCTAGCAGTAACCTCTGAGCATCGCCGGGTTTAAAAAAAAAAAGAATTTTAGATTTTTTTCAACTTGCCCCTCCTATTCTCCTCTCCTGTTTTCTCCAGCGTGCTAACCTCAATAATTGCTCATGGCTGTTTCACACCTTTTATGACTACGAGTCCTATCGGATCAACTTCCCACCCCCGAGTTAATAATTAGCGTCATGGGGGTATGGTGCCGCCAGCAGGTCAATCTGTACCTGTGAGGCAAGTGCATCAGCAGCCTCATGGCGCTTTCAGACTTCCAGATACCCCAAAAATTGCTGCTGTGCCTTTGGCCAGACCCCAAAAACTTGGGGCAAAGTTTACCAAGAAAGTAAACGGCCAAAAGTTAGGTATGTGGGAAACACACCCACAAACCACCTCCGGCTCAGCTATATAATTGGAGGCAAGGCCTCTTTGGTTCCTGATTGAACTGCTTAATGGACATGATCCCAGAGACTCAGAAACGAATCTCAGAACCCAGTGGCTTTAGGTAGAAATGCGTCTGGTCTCTGCATTAGGCTACCGGTGCTGGGCCAATCCAGGTGGGAATAGGTTTCGTGCCTTGGCCTATTCCCCCCGGCGGCCCAGTGGCCGCCATCTGTCTGAGGCCACTGGATAGTCACATTTGGGCCCCCAGTGACGAGACACACAGGGCCTCACGGGATGAGGGTGGAGCCGGGCTTGTCTTCCCCACCCCAACGAGACCCCAAGTCATTGCCCACGAATGGCCTCTCTGGCTCCTGATTAAGCTGCTTAACGACCATGATCCCAGAGATCAGAAACAAATCTCGAAACCCAGCGGCTTTTGTCAGAAATGTGTCTGAACCCCGCAGTAGGTTACTGTTGCTGGGCCACCCCAGGGGGAAATGGGTGCTGTCCCTCCGCCTGCTCCCTCTTGGCAACTTGGTGGCTGTCATCCTCCAGAGGCCATTGGACAGTCAGGCTTGGGCCTGCAATGACGAAACTTGTTGGGTCTCACGGGATGGGGGGGGGGAGGTGGAGCCGGGCCTGTCTTCCCCACCCCAATGAGACCCCAAGTCATCGCCCACGAATGGCCTCTTTGGCTGCTCATCAAGCTGCTCAACGGCCATGATCCCAGAGACTCAAGAGCAGATCTCTAAACCCAGTGGCTTTGGGCAGAAATCCCTCCAGATTTAAGTGTTAAAACTTCAGAATTTCAAAACCACATGGCCCTACTGCAGCCACAAGACATCATATGTTAGTCATAACCAGCAATAGAACACAAATTGTCTATTCTTGCCTTTTCAGCAGATCTGAGTGTTGGGGTAAAATCTTAAATAATGGTGGGTCTGGTGTCGAAATAGTGAATGTGATCAAAGTAGAGAGAGAGTAATGTAGAAATCATCTGCCCCACAGGTAGGGGGAGGGTGTGGGATGGGAGCATACTGGGGTTTTTGGTGGTGGAGAATGGGCACTGGTGAGGGTACGGGTGTTTTATTGTATGACCGAGACTTAGACCCAAAAGCTTTGTAACTGCTCTCACGGTGATTCAATAAATAAAATTATAAAAAATGGGAAAAAAAAGAAAAAAATTAGCGTCATTTGTTTTGAGCCAGCTTTCTTTCCCTCCCTCTCTGAGATCCCCTGTGGAGGGAATAAAGACAGCGCCGCGAAGCAACAAGCCGAGGCCAGGGACGCGCTCAGAGTGCCGCACGGCGGATTCTCCACACGGAGTTCCACACCGAGGCGCGGAAGAGCAACGCCAAGCGAAGGGCCGGGAGCCCCGGCTCTCCTGAGCTCGCGAGGGGACAGAACCTCGCGGGGCTGGGCCTCCTCCTGATTGGCTCATTTTGGAGGGCGTGGTAGGAAGTGCCGACCAATCACGGACGACGTGCGCAGGCACGTGCGGGGTCTGGCTGGCGAATGGGGCGCTAGAGGCGGGTTCGGGCTTGCAAGGACGCGAGCTGGGCTGCCTGGCGAATTGGGCCCGCTGGACCCGCGAAGTGCTGCTCTGGCCGCGTGGATTCTGTTCCCAGGCTGACATGTGGGCCGCCGTGAGGCTCGCTCTGGGCCGGTGCCCCCGCGCCACCCTTCCCGGGCTCCGATCTTATCACGGGGACGCGGTAGCCACGCTGGGCACCCAGCAGGACTCCGGTTCTGCTATCTACCAGGTAGGCTGGGTCAGAGGCTCAGGACCGGGAGCCCTTGCTGAAGTCTGATCTTACGCGTGACCGCCACCACTAGGTCGACGGGGCTCGGCGCTGGCCGGGCTAGGAAGAGGGGTAGCTTCTGTCCTAGCCTCTGGAGCCCCAGAAACGATTTGGGGGCGCGCTAAGGAAGGGAGAAGTTTGAGAAAGAACACTTGCCGCTCAAACACACTGGTTTCACTTTTGGCACCGGCGCTGTACTCGTTGAAATCTTTGATTCTCAACATCTGGTTTCACACTGGGAAACTGAGTACACATTCCCCTTAAGTTCCACCCTAGACCTTTTGGCACTCTAGAGTGGTATTTGCTCGATGCGTTGAGGTCCTCCTGGAGGGAACTAGGCAGGAAGGAATCGTGCAGTGCCTGGGATGAAATCCTTGACTCCTGCATGCGTTCCTGCTCTTTGAGGTTTTTCCAGACCACCAGGTATTTGCATTGGTAATGAAAGGGTTTTTATTCTTGTTTTTTGGAGGGGCGTGGGGGTCTGGGGGCGGGAGGCTTGGTGATAGCCAACTCTGGGAACTACTAGCCCAAGAGAGCTAAGTTTGGATTATACTTAATCGATTTTAGAGAAGTAATTATATTAATAGAAAATACTTATGTTGCAGTGCCTTTCGGTGCCCTTTCTTGGCACTGGGAGGTATCACAAGGTCAAATAAACTACTTAAAACTGGTGAGAATATCTGCTGAAAAATTTCAGTCTGTCCGCTCCATGGTTTCTAAGCATATAAAGATACCATTTAAATTGTGCAAATCACTTTCAGACATTTGAAACATTTCTGCATTTCCATCTGTGTAAAACGAAGGAATTGAAAGCCAACCTACACAGTAGACGAGCAACAGTGTTGAGCAAGAGATATCCAAAAGTTTCTTGATTTCCTGGGGTCAGATAAGAATGTTTAGTTCAGGAACATTAGTTGGGTACTGTGGTATTTGGTGTAGATGTACAGAAATGGCATTTGTATTTGGTGTAGATATACAGAAATGGTGCTTATAACTTTTGGGGGGAAGATAGGGGAGAAAGCAGGTAATTCTGTCCAGTGTGATCAGTGGTTCTAGAGCTTGATAAGGTTGGTCAGGAAGCTGCAAGTAGGAAGTTATGATTGAGTTGAGCCCTTTTTTTGGTTCATTTTTGGGTGTGACAAGTACTTACGCTTACTCATGGACCTATGCTCAGGGATCACTCCTGGTGGGAGTTGGGGGAGGATACGGGTTGCAGGGGATTGAATCCTGGTCAGTTGTGTACATTGTACTTGCTGTGTAATGATTCTGCACCCCAGCAGTTGGATCTCGATAGGAGGATAAGAGCTGCCTAGGTTTGGGGGCCACACCTAGCAATACTCAGGACTTACTCCTGGTTCTGTGCTCAGGGATCACTCCTGGTAGTGCTCAGGGGACAATAGGTGGTGCCCTATTTGCTATACTGTCACTCAAGTTTCCTGGGACTAATGTTTTAACTGGAGGCCCCCAGAAGGCAGTATTTGCCACATGTCACCATACTAGTCCGTGGGTAATGAGACATTGGGCTCAAGTCTGCCTGACTTCCGTCTTTTTTGGCATTACACTATCCTGCTTCTTGGCTATCAAACCTTGTCTAAGGAAGCCTGGTTAGGAAGTATGTCCCTGGAACAGATCCTAGCAGGCATGGCTCCTCTAGGCTGCCACAGATGACCCAGTCTGAGGTGGTCAAGGTCAGTTCCAGTCATTGATAGCTTTTACCCATTGTAGAAGAGTATAATTGCATCAAAATTGTTTAATTGATGGGCTGGAACGATAGTATAGTGGGAAGGGTGCTTGCCTTGCACACGGCCAACCTGGATTTGATCCTCTGCATCCCATATGGTCCCCTGAGCCCTGCCAGGAGTGATTCCTGAATGTAAAGCCCTGCGCTTAGCTGGGGATGGCCCCACAACAACAACAACAACAACAACAACAAAAACCTAATGCTTAATTGCTTTGTATATGCTCTAGAAAGAGCTTTGTGGATGTTTTCTTTAAGAACTGATTTCTAATTTTATTCCAAAGTAATTGGAAAAGATAACCTTGATGATGTCAGTCTTTACAGTTTTATTAAGACTAATTTGTGGTCTAACATGGTCTATCATGGACCCTGAGTTCTGGATATCATTGAGAAAACGTACTGTGCTCTGGTGGGATGGAGCACATGTCCATGAAGTTCCATTGGGTAGAGTTGCTCGGATTCTGATGTCTTAGAATATTCTGTCTGGCTTGTCTGTCCCAACTGTGGTAGAGTGGTAGAGTGTTAGGGAAAATCATCAGACTACGGGAGAAGGGGATTTATTCAAAAGGTCGTGGAGTTCTGTTCTTAAGGCAAGCGACCTATCCCCATATTATCACTTAATCACTTAACTTCCCGTTAGTCGTCGATTTGCTCGAGCGGGCGCCAGTAACGTCTCCATTTGTCCCTGTCGCTTGCTAGTGTAGCCCAATGGCATCTGTTCACTCTGGGAACATGAAGAGCCTCAAACTGATCGTTTATGATCTTAATGAAGAAGTCTGACCATCTGGTAGGTGGGCGGCCACGCGGTCTTTTGACATCCCGTGGAATCCAGTCTGTAACAGCTCTAGTCCAGCGGTCGTCTTTAAATCTCATTACGTGACCAGCCCATCTGATTTTCGACACCTTGGCAAATGAGACAGCGTCCCTGATTCTTGATCATCGACGGATGTCAGAACTCCGGATTCTCTCTCTCCTTTGAGTGAAACGTGATATTCCAAGCATAGCTCTTTCTATTCTTCTTTGGAAGACCTGAATAGCGTTCTCATCTTGTTTGCGTAGGGCCCAGGTCTCTGAGGCATATGTTAATGCAGGAAGAACAGTGGAATCAAAGAGATGTGCCCGGAGCCGGAGGTTCTTCGTCCTCTTAGCTATTTATTCGACATTCTTGAAGGCGTTCCAAACTGCTCTCTTCCTCCTGCGCAGCTCGGGTGCCAGGTCATTTGTCATGTTGACTTCTCGACCTAGGTACACCTAGCTGTATATTATCTCTTTCTTAATTTTCTTCCTGTGAACAAAGTGCTTTCTGTTGCTCTGTATACCTAGTGATTTGGTTGTTACTGGAAAGAGGGCATTTTAAATTTTTATTTATTATTATTATTTTGGCCTTTTGAGCTACACCCAGTGATGCTCAGGGGTTGTTCCTGGCTCTGCACCGAGGAATTATTCCTGGCAGTGCTCTGGGGACTATATGGGATGCTGTGGATTAAACCCAGGTTGGCCACGAGCAAGGCAAATGCCCTACCCATTGTGCTATTGCTCTGGCCCCAAAAGGACAATTTTTAAAGACACCCACATCTGCTTATCCTTTCAGATATTGCACTTTATGCCGGGAAAGTCTTTTACTGACCAATGGGCATGATAAATCAGCTTTGGGGAATCCTTCTGTGGTCCTTTCAGAGCATGCATCTTGCCTGGGCCCATGCGTCCCCTTTTCAGTTTTTCTGTTCTCCTGACTGTCTTTAACCAGCTTTATAAATAAGCCAGTGCATGCCTTGTGTATGTGAGGACCCAGGCCTTATCCCCAGCACCACCTTGATCCACAAGCACAGCCTGGTGTGGACTTGGAAGCCCTGGGTACTGCCCAGTAGGCCCAGGTGGTCCCTGAGTTCCTCTAGGCCTGGGCTGCTGAATCTCACTGGGCTCTAACATTGGATGGTCCAGCAACTTCTCCACTCATCATTAGCAGTGACATCTGGTCCCCTTGGCTTAGGAGCACCTGCCTCCAAAAGAAAAAAAAAATAAAACTTCATGTTCCAAAGCAGCTCACTTCCTCTTTTCTCGTGGTGCAGTAGTGATACTGTCTGACTGAGGCCAGACCTCAGTCTCTGCCTTCCCCCAGCCTGTCCTGCTGCTGGGTGAATGGCATCAGCCTTTCTGGAACTGCCCACAGGTAGAAGGATGCCAGCCAGGTCTGCTCGCTGCCCCTAATATAGAGAAAAGAGGGATTGGTCCTGATACCCCCAACTCCTTCAGGCCAAAGATGATGCTGTCCAGGACGTGGGGCCAGCAGAAGACCACAAGTATTTATTGACACAATGTGTCCGGCTGCTTCTTGACTGACTGTCCTCTTGATGGCCTCAGTTCTCTAATGGTTGGTTTGCTCCCAGCTGTGCTGGGGGGGTGGGGGGGGTGGAGGGGTCAAAGCAGAGCTGGTGCTTGTAAGATACAAACACCTTCTCCCCTGGCTTCTGGTTGGCTAGATTTAAAAACTTTAAATCTATTTACTTTTTTTAAAACCATTTTTTATTGAGGTACTGAGATTCATAATGCTGAAAATTATGCCTTTCATGCATGCATCACTCCCACACCGCACCCCCCACCTGAGGCCCACTTCCCACCACCGTCTTCACTTCCCAGGGCCCCTCCCACCCCTCTTCCTCAGGTAAGCGCAACTCTGAAAAAAGAATCTCCAGTTCCAATGACTTTAGCTACTTGTTGTTCCCTTACTTTCTTTCTTTACATCCTACACATAAGAGAGATTTATTTTATTTTTGGTTGTTGGGATCCAGCTATACTCAGGGATTACTCCCGGTGGGCTCAGGGGACCATAATGAGTGCTAGGGACAGACCCAGGTTGACTGTGTGAAGACAAATGCCTTACCCGCTTCTCTCTCTGACCCTAACACATCAGAGAGATTTGAAATAGGAGCTACTGTGGAAGTGGTTACACCTATACAAATATAACAAAGTAAAGCCAAAATCCTGCTGTTTCACACAATTGTAAATCAATGATAAGTTGATAAAATCTTTTTCAAAAACTATGTCTTTTTTGGGGGGCCAGAGAAATAATATAGAGGGTAGAGTACTTGCCCTGCATGCTGCTGGTCCAGGTTCAATCCCTGGCATGCCTCATGGTTTCTGAACCTACCAGGAGTGATCCCTGAGGGCAGAGCCAGGAGTAAGCCCTAGCACAGCTGGTTGTAGCTTCAAAGCAAAAACTATC